ACACACGCACACACACACGCACATACGCACACGCACACACCCGTGGCACCTCTGGTCCGCTGGCTGCTGCGCTTTTCGAGTCAATTTGACATTAACTCAACTCGGCCAGCACATAGCATAACATACACCAGGCACATTCTACAGCAGATTAGTTTACGGTTTATTCAAAAATGTACGTACATATTGTCCGTATTATAATCTAGTTAGCATTAGAGACCTCATACGAACCAAACTGTGCATCTGAAATTCAATTAGATAGAATATACGCATTCTGTTAGCAAGAGCTGATGCTGGTTTAATATTTACATATTATATTTAACTTTGAATAGAGCTACCGAAATCTTAACCTAAAATCTATTTAAAGCTGAATGAAGGCCTCCTGCTGTTGGCAATAAATAGTTTTGAGCCAACGATAGTTTTGTTATATATATACGATACTATCGATATAAATTGTTCAATATTATATTGTCCCTTTGTTAAAATAATAATTAACCAAACGATTGTCCCCGTCTAAAACACATCAAAAATGAAGTGCCATCTTTCGCTTGAGTTCGCTTAGAATTCTCAAAAAGTTAAAGCGAAACAGGAGCAAGGTGTTTGGAGTTGAAGGAAGGTTCCAGAAATAGCTAGAGCTAATACCTAATTGTATGCGTGCGTTTTGTGCATGCAAAAATATTTTTATAGCATATATTATTATATATAAATAGTTAACATTGACCTTTAGTGTCAGCCAAGCTTCATATTAATGTCACTCAAACCAAGTGACATTTGCATTTATTTTGTTGATTCTAATATGGTTATTTATTTATATCTAAAATAAAAGGCTTCTGATCAATCTAGTGCTGCAGTTCAAAGTGAATTCTATGCATGTATAGATATTCTTATTAGAAAACTAAATATCTTTGTGGAGTTTCTGCTGTTCTTCTCATATTGGTATTTTTTGTTGTTTACAGCAATTCGATGCGCAATCTCTAGTTCATGACTCTCTTAGCTGGTATTTCCATTTGGCAAACTTTGTGCCTGTTGTTCTTTCAATACAATCTCATATTTTCTTAATAGTTTGCCAGTTCCTCTTTGCATCCTGTCACACACGCACACACACACACACACACACACACGCGCAGGGACACACACAAAGTTGTTGCTGCTCATTTTTTCAGTCAAGTTCGACTTCTTCTCCTGGAAAGCATGCAAAATTCCCTGAATCAGGCAAATAGTTTGGATTGTGTGTCTGTGTGTGTGTGTGTGTGTGTGTGTGTGCGCTTCTCTTGTCTTTCTTCTTCTTCTTCTGCAGGATATTCAACAGCAGCGACGTCGTCTTTTGCATTATTTTATGGCCTTAAGCAAATTATATTCCCTTAGCTTCGGCCAAAGAGTTAGCCAAAAACTTTTGTGCGAACTGCTGGCGTTTGTGTGTGTGCTTGAATATGTGTGTGTTTGTTGGTGTTGGTGTTTGCATAATTTTACAAAAAATTTCAAAGTTATCCGCTCGCTCTGCTCCACGCATCCCCAGCCCAACCATGCTGTCCTTTTTGCCTTCGGTTCCTTTTATTTAGTTCGCTGCCATTTGCATTGTTTTGCGGCCCTGCGGCATTAAGCGGCAAAGTTTTTGACAAAAACTTTTGCTGCTGTTAAAGTTGCATTTAAAATTTGCATTAAATTAAGCACACACGCACACACACACGCACATACGCACACGCACACACCCGTGGCACCTCTGGTCCGCTGGCTGCTGCGCTTTTCGAGTCAATTTGAACTTTTCGCCTAAATCGCAGCGACAATCGCCTGTTTAGAAATGGCAAATAAAAGCTGATCAAATTAATGACAGTGCCACCTGCCACATGGCACCAACTTTGCACAGCTGCATCCGCTGCAGCAGCCGCATGGACCTTGCCCGGTCAAGTACTAAATCAGCCGTAAAAGCCAAAAAAAAAAAAAAAAATCAATTCTTAACGATCACGTTTCGCTCGCTGGACTAATAATGGACCTGAGGGGAGTGGAGGGGAAGATGGAGCGGTTTGCCGTGTGGCCTGTGGCATGCGGCATGTGGCATGCGGAAGGATGCAGCTGCTATGTGCGGCATGTGAGGCATTTGGGGCATGTGTGACATATGACGAGGCGCGCCTCATTGATCTGCACGTTTTCACGTTGCGTTCCTCGAAAATGATGTTTAACACACACACACACACACACACACACCAGCCACACTAACCACACACTACCACACACACAGGCAAGTGGAAAAAAAAAACTACTTACACACGTTTAGCGCGGCACGTTTCGTGCGACGTTTGCACATTTCAAGGATGTAACTAAATTCGTAATGAAGACGTGCAAACTGAAACTACGTGCGTGCGCGCGTGTGTGTGTGTGTGTGTGTGTGTGTGTGTGTGTGTGTGTGTGTGTATTTGCGTGTGTTGGTGTGCGCTTAACTCCATTTTGCCTGCCACACTGGCAAAAACATTCAATCAATCAGTCAAATCCGTCAAGCAATTTCCGTTAAATTAGTCAAGCTGATTATTTACTGCTGCTGCCCTCATGTGGGGCAGGTCATGTTGAGGTCGCACACAAACCATTACCAAAACGCGTGCACCCCCCCCCCCCCCTCTTCGCCCGCCCACCTCCTCCGTTCGCCAGTTCCATTTAATTGTGGCTAGTCGAACTGCGAAACATAAAGAAATCGCCCCAGCTAAGTTTACCGTCCAGCTTGTAATTAGATGCGACTCATTAAGCACCCAGGCAAAAAATGCGACAAAATTACACTGAGCGAAATCGTTGTGTTGTTTGGCACTGCACAAAAAAAAAAAAAAGGATACCGAATAGGTAGAAGTATTGATGAGTATCGATTAGTATCGATAGTGCTTGCCCCACTCTCTATAGTCCTTAATTAGTTCACCCTGCTCTCAATTAAAAAGTTTGAAAATGGCATATTAGTTTTGTTGAGAATAAACATAACAGGTCTTAGCAGAGAGCAAGAGTATCCAAGTTCGAATTGTTTTCCTATCAGATGTCAGATGTTCAGATGTCGATAGCTTATATATCTACATATATCTCATTTAGGCATAGCTCCTAAAGCTTACGAGCTTGTTTAAAAGCTAGCTCTGCACTGGGTAGACATTGTTGAAAACTCTGTACTAAATATTTTCCAATCGAAAATGGGAAATCTCTTTATTTATATGTGTGTGTAGTTTTTTGACTAGGAAATTGAAAGTGTTTGGCAGCTACAACAACAGCTGGGGACTTGCCACAGTGTCCGCTGACAATGGGCGGCTGGCCTTGAACTCCTTGTGGGCCGCCCAAAACCAACTAGAACGAGTTATGCGCATGTGTCCGACTTTAATTAATTACCGGAATACCGTTAATATTTGCATTGCCTTCAAAGCGCCGCAACCGAACCGACCGAACCAGGAGATCCGCTGAGCAAACACAAAGAGCGCAACGAGGCCCAGAAAGCGACGCGAGGCGCCACCAAATGGCCGCCAAGGGGCGTGGGGCCATTGCCAAGCGGTGTAGTCCCCAGCAGGCGTATACAAGGATTTTTACGTTTATATACCCTGTAAACAGGCAAACTAGCATTGAGCGTATCCACAGAACTGATGCTCTTGAGAGCAGACCAAATTTAAATAAAATATACAAGTTCTTTTTTTGCTCAATCAAATGGAATATAAACATAATGAAATATAGATATAAGACAATATATTATCTCAAACAATTAAAAGGACGTGCCCACACCAAATGCTTCCAGAAAGTATCCATGCAAAATATCCTTACAAAGATGAAACATCCATAGAAAGTATGGATATTGGTGGAAAGTATTCAAGTCACAGTAGGCGCATTGTAGGATATCTGTTAGTTGATCACGCTCGACTAGAACGTTTCTTATATATTCTCCATTTTATTTTTGCTCCCTTCATTTTTCCATATTTTGGTCGTGTTTCTCGTAATTTAATTTCTGGAAAAAAAATTCGCTCAAAAGTATGCAATGCCAAATTATGTTGTGCCGGTGCCGCCGCGTACAGGCCTCCGGGGGGTGCTGCATGTGGCATGTGGCATGTGGCACGGTGCAGGCATCGAAAAACGTGTAGGTAATGCAACGCCAGGCAAAGGTAGCCGCTGTTTTGGGCTGAAAATAAACAGACGGCCAACAACGTTCGCGTTGTCCATTTTATTAACATTTCTCCAACGATGCCTTGCACGTGTATGTGTGTGTGTGTGTGTGTGTGTGTCCAATTTCCATTGCATTGGTAAGCTGAAAATTCTAAAAATATATAAAATTCCGAGCCAAGTCCGTGCAGTCGCTTTAAATGCAAACTGACACCGCAATGCACTGAGCAAATTTCAGAATAAAATTTAAGCCCGATCCAGAGATAATGTCTGTATTTTGCTTTACTTCAAACTATATACAAATATTACAATCATAGTGTTTAATCCATGAATAACTTTCAATATGCATCGAACTTCAGAATTGTCTCATAGCTTTCAATTTTTAAGAGTCTTCGTTGCGATTGGCTCCTTCGGAAATAAAGTACACAAATCACGAATATAGTTTGAAATTTATTGCTCGCTGACTCATCAAGTCACTAAACGTGAAGAATTCTTCTTAAAACTGGGTATTAAGCAGTCGGTTGAACTCGACTGTAATGTTCTTACACTTTTCTTATGCTATAAGAATGAAGAAACCATGTAGGTTCAACCAGAGAAAAGAAGCAGCAAACTATGGAAGCTTAAACATGTTGCGAATTACAAAGCAACGATAAACAGCGTCCACTTTCTGTAATAATAATGTAAAGGAAGTCTAACAGAAAAGAAAATGGAAACAGCCCTGCGACCGAGACGGTGTCTATTGTGCTTGGTGCTGGATAGGGGGGAATTGGGGGCATTCGGGGCAAACTCTTTGACTATATGCTGCCTTCTATTCAAAGAACCCTGTATGCTGCAACTTAGTTGTCATTGTTCAATACTAAAGTGTTTTCCGTATCAATCTACCCTTTCTTATTTAGATGATGGAGCACGCCTGGCACAACTATAAATTGTATGCTTGGGGCAAGAACGAGCTGCGTCCATTGTCGCAGCGTCCGCACTCGGGCAGCATATTTGGATCATATGATTTGGGCGCCACAATTGTGGATGGCCTGGACACGCTGTACATAATGGGCCTGGAGAAGGAGTACAAGGAGGGACGCGACTGGATTGAGCGCAGATTCTCGCTGGACAACATCAGCGCCGAGCTGTCCGTGTTCGAGACAAATATACGCTTTGTGGGCGGCATGCTGACACTGTACGCCTTTACCGGGGATCCACTGTACAAGGAGAAGGCGCAGCATATTGCGGATAAGCTGCTGCCCGCTTTTCAGACTCCCACCGGCATACCCTATGCGCTGGTCAACACCAAAACTGGCATGGCCAAGAACTATGGCTGGGCATCCGGTGGTAGCTCGATTCTCTCGGAGTTTGGTACACTGCATCTGGAGTTTGCCTATTTAAGCGATATAACTGGCAACCCACTGTATCGGGAGCGCGTGCAGACCATACGCCAGGTGCTCAAGGAGATCGAGAAGCCCAAGGGACTCTATCCCAACTTCCTGAATCCCAAGACGGGCAAATGGGGCCAGCGTAAGTAGTTCGATCTGTTTTCGAAAAGAAACATTTTCACCCAACTGCTGTGACCATTGCAGAGCACATGTCGTTGGGGGCCCTGGGTGACAGCTATTACGAATATTTACTCAAGGCATGGCTTCAGTCCGGCCAGACAGACGAGGAGGCACGCGAAATGTACGATGAGGCTATGCTGGCCATTATGGACAAAATGGTGCGCACCAGTCCCAATGGGCTGACCTATGTATCTGATCTGAAGTTTGATCGACTGGAGCATAAAATGGATCATCTTGCCTGCTTCTCGGGTAAGTTTTTGCAATTATTGTTCGATTCGAGCCGGCGACATTCCGCTCGCTAGTCCGACGCTCGATTCGTAAGCCATGCAGGCTCACAGCGTCGCGTTCACAGAGTTCACCACAGTTCACTTTGCACCCGAAACCTCTTTTATTAATATTCATACAAAAACATATTAAATATCCAAATTCAATTCGCAGGCGGACTTTTTGCACTGGGCGCTGCGACACGCCAGAATCAGCACACGGACAAGTACATGGAAGTGGGCAAGGGCATTACCAACACCTGCCACGAGAGCTATATACGCGCGCCCACCCAGCTGGGACCAGAAGCATTCCGGTTAGTATTCAGTTCAGGCAATTCCATTAATTTATATATTAATCCTTCTGGAGTTACCTTTTAGCTTCAGCGATGCGGCAGAGGCGCGTGCGCTGCGCTCGCAGGAGAAATACTATATACTCAGGCCGGAGACATTTGAAAGCTACTTCGTGCTTTGGCGCCTCACGCACGACCAAAAGTATCGCGACTGGGGCTGGGAGGCGGTACTGGCGCTGGAGAAGCATTGCCGTACACCGCACGGCTACTGCGGCCTGCGCAATGTCTACCAGCAGGAGCCCCAAAAGGACGATGTGCAGCAGAGCTTCTTCCTGGCTGAAACACTCAAGGTATTTAGCTGAAAGTACGGAAATTTAACTCGGAAACAATTAAACAAAAAACGTTTTTTCCTATGCCCTAGTACCTGTACTTGCTGTTCTCAGACGACTCCGTACTGCCCCTGGACGAATGGGTCTTCAACACGGAGGCGCATCCATTGCCCATCAAGGGTGCCAACATTTATTACCGCAAGGCTCCGGTGCCGCTGCCCGCATCGAATGCCTCATAAGCCGTTGGACGCAGTTGGATGACCGCGTCATTTTAATTGACTATATATCATTTAATATAATGATTATTATTTAAATATTGTAATGTATATTTTATTTTTTTTTTTTTTTTTTTTTTTTGTAATTTTTATTTGTCTGTTGTTTTAGTTAGTTTATATTTTAGTTTGTGTATGCTACATTATTTGATTGCACAATGACAACAACTATATAATTTGATCTTTAGTTCGACGGGCAATCAACGGACGACCATATTCTATGTAACATATTTATGCAACTCTTATTAACGATAGCAACAAGAACCCCAAGTAGTTATTATATGGTAAACATCCTCTAGCTCGTATTCAATACGCTCGGCACAATTTTTCAAACAACAAGCTAAAACAGTTATTCACACCAATTTGTAGGCTGCACTTGGCTAATTACAATTTGAGGTGTTTGACAAAAAAGAAAAAACCAACCAATTATATGGTATATATAGATAACACACACACACACACACACAGACCCATAGATGATTTATGTAAGTAAACTCAGGTGTTCGAATTATGATTTCTTGCATTGTCTCCGTTAACGGAATCAGCTTGAAAACTCTTCAACTTGCATTCTCAATATCGTTCTGTCTAACTCTCTCACTCTCAATATCTCTCTCTATCTCTATTTCTATCTGTATCTCTATCTGTAGTACTAGATCTATTTATCTACATAGAATATTTGTGTAGAGCACCCTGTACGTAACTTAATAACTTGCATTTTGAATATGAATATGACACAACTCTCAACATTCAGTGGCACATTCTGGGATCGACATATGTAGGAGCTTTGTTTTGTAAATATTTCCCTAGCGACAAAATGAAGGCATCGATGAGAAGGTTTACAAATCAAGTAATTGTCAAGTTATTGTTTATGTTGTAGTCTAAATATAATGATTAATAATTATTGTAATAGCACCTAGCATACTTTAAACAAATGTAACGCATATTACTTTACATCAGCATCAAGCGAAACGAATCTTAAATATATATATATATATAACACATAGAAAACAACAACAACAACAAAACAAACAAACAAACACATAAACAAATATGTAGGCAATTGTTTAAACAAAATATTTATACAATTATACAACAAGCGAAATAATTTTATTTTTAACAATGTAAAGGGTTTTTTTTTATAATCCTAAGCGTAATGATAATTATGATAATGATAATTATGATATTAATATTAAATAAAAACCATATATAAATAACAAGAAAACAAAAACAATGTCGAAAATGTTAAATTTTTGTAATCTTCAACGCTTTGCATCAGCTCTCGAGCTGTGAGAAGTCATATTAGAAACATACGTACATACACATAAATTATAAAATAATAACAATGAAGAGCATTACAAAAATATACATTTTCTAAGGTGAACACATAGTTTTATCATTATATAAATTATATATATATATATATATATATATATATACATATAAATATATATATATATTTTTTTTTTATGTTATATCAAATTACTTGTAAGGCAGAACGTGAATATTGTATAATTGTGAGTCTAATAAAATTGTAAATGCATGATAGATCAACTCGATGAGGTGGGCAACTCTCCCTAGGGACAGTGCAAGTGGATATTAAGAAATGCTTAAACATAATTGTATTGGAATAACCCATAAGTTTAATAAAAATCTAATGAATAACATTAAAACAAATGCGATCTGTTTTGCGACATTTTTGAAAAGGCTAATGAGCCGAAGTTTTGTACGATGTCTGAAATACTAAATCGATTTTATATAGCGTATATTCGTACACCTATTCAATAATGGTATATATGTATGTTAATTCTAAATTTTTAATCCGAATCGATGTAACTGTTTAATTTAGGTCCACTGTGCCACGTCTTGAAGGATTCCATCTCAACAATTTATTAGACACTAGTTTAGTTTAGTTTAGGTTAACTATTACTTAAGCCCCAATCTTATGATTGGTAAGGAATATTGAAAATTCATGATTTCATTCTCTATGTAGAAGAAGAAGATAATTTCCCGGCGTGTTTGTCCCTTTGTCCTCACGCAACTTCGTATAGATTCGTCTTATTGTTGCAAAAATTGAATTTTCTATGAATTGAATTCTCTTTCGTTTTTCAAGAAAACTTAACCAAACTCAGCGAATACAATCTCTATTATTCTCCTTATGCCTGGGTAAAGTATTTTATTCATGGAACTACAAGAGGATGAGAAACAGCATGATCTAAATAGTCGGGTATAGTTGTTTATTATGTTTTCAAAGACTAAAACATGACAATTTCTGGAAAATCAACATATATAAGTTTTTCACATCCCCTGCTTCCACGTTGGTTTCCTTCCCCGAAATTGCATACGCATGGAATATCCCAAGTGGTATATTCCAAATAACTTGTATGTATGTGTGTATTATTCTCAATCAACTGCCGGTCTGCATCATGACTTTTGCACCGCTACAATTCCTTTCCAGGCATGACTAACACTTGAGCAGCTCTATTAAAATATATGTACATACAGATACATACATAGGTGCTTGCACAAGGCGAACAAAGCGCTCTGAGGTTAACAACATTTCGCACCCAAACTCACACTTGGCGGAGAACCCGGAACGGGAACGCCAATTCCAGCTTGCAATGCGAGCGGGCAAAGTCCGAAGCGCACAGCATAAGAGACCACTGCAAACGGCTGGGCAAACAAAGCATAACCATAAAAGCCAGCAAGAAGCCCACCCGACCGACGCTAGTCGCCGCCCACTCATAAAGAAAATGAAGGAAAACAAAAAACAAGAGTGTATAAGACTTTAGATTCAAAAGTCATTCCACCCGCGGGGCGCAAACAAAGACAACTCTGCGCTTGCAGTCGAAGCCATTCACTGGCTGTTGCTCTCTCACTCTCTCACACTCTCTCTTTCGCTCTCGTTCTAGCGCTCTTTTGCGCTCCCTTTTGTTCTTGTTGTTCGCATTACTCCTGCTGCTGCTGCTGCTGCTGCTGCTCTTCTTCTTCTTTGTTGGCTAGACGAGCCCGCCAGACCAGCTGAGTTGCTTTTTGCCGGTCGCAGCGACTGCGCTTATTGATTTTTGTTGCTGTTATACCCTAACCTAATCGGGCAACTGCGACTGCTTGCAGCTGTAATGTAATTGTATGGCGATTTTGTTCATTTGCTATATACAAATAAAACTTGATGTATATTCATGAATATATAAAGCGAATGATTTACCAATTTCTCATCTCAGAAAATAAAAAATTCAAATTCAAGTAATACGCATGCATACAATATTTCGATTTCAAATAATACATTCATACATAAATATGTACACATGCATGTACTTTACAATGGCTCATTGTGACATCGACGTATAGGGTATACAGTCGGCGAGCTGCCCTCAAGCAACGCCTTTGTGTTTTTGTTTTGGTCGTTGACGTTCGCGGCCTCGCTTCAAGCAACCGCACAGTTGTTTGCGAGTTTTCAAGCGAGTCGGAGCGTCCGATGCAGCAGCAGCGCCAGTAGCTCCAGCGGATGCATACAGTTGAAGTCTAGAGCTGTTTGTTCTACTCTACGTCTCAGTTTTGTTGTGGTGTCTGTGCCAGAGCTGCAGTATGCCGTTTCCCATACATCCACCCAAGCAAATGCCCTGCCCACACTGGCAGCACTTTCCCATTAGCCCGGTTGACAGCAAGCCGGCGCCATTTGGAAGCAGCAGCAACAACGATGCGGCTGCGCCAGTTAACAAGCCACCGGAGCCGGTGTCCTATCGCTACTGTGCCCACTGCAAGGCAGCTGGCAAGGATGTGGGCGACATCAGTAAGGACTGAATGGAGCTACCATCTGCACGCACTTTTCACCTTGGCGATGACATGGGCCACGCACTGAATCCACCCGTTCCACATATGTACACGCGTCACCCGCTCACGAATCCACATAAACATCACCAACCACCAGCCACACCACACCGAACCACTCACAATGACAGTGGAACGCCCAACTAATCTCAAGTGGGCCCGCCGCGATGAGTGCAGCTTATAAATATGTATATCGAATTCGAATTTGATTTGTGTTCTTATAAGAATTTCGTATATGTTTGCCTTCTGCTCGTCATTTACTTTGCGTTTTTGTTTCATGTGCCAATCACACTGATATCTACATACATACATATATCATGATCTATATACTATATCTTTGTATATATATTTTTTTTACATTTGAAATGCTTAAGCTAAGATTTTTCTACACATTTAGATTTGAGAACTAAATTTGGTAAAAAAAAAAAAAAACAAAACAAAAACATAACAAAATAAACGCACGACGCATATAAAAACAAGTTTATTTCACACACACACACACAGATGCATTCGTATGTGTACACGCACAAATGTGAGCAGATGCATCAATGTATGTGTGGCTTGTCTTCTTGAGCGGCACACTTTTTTGGGACTTGTTTGTTTGCCTGCTGCTGCTGCTGCTGTTGTTGTTGCTGCTGCTGCTGTTGTTGTTCCGGATCGTGCGCTGCTTTTTATCAGTATTCAAGGTCAGTAGACAGCAGCAACAACAACAGCAAGAGGCATTAAAATTTCAAGCATACCCGCGATAAGCCTGAAACGAAACAGAACAATCCAGCAGAATTAAATCATACATGCATACATACATACATATGTATGTATGTACATAATTAAGGCAGCATTTTCGGTTTTCAATTCGGCTGTTACGCTGTTTTCTTTCTCTTTTTGTTCTTGTTGTTGTTGTTGTTGTTGTTTTATTTCGTGTGTGGCCCCCAATGGGTTAATTAGCTCGCTTGCCGCACGCAACTGCAATGCAAGAGAGTTGCCTGAGGCTGGGTGACAAAGTTCAACAAACTGCTTAAGTGCAAAAATAAATACGCACTCGCAGTTACAAATATACACACATACACATACACATATCTGCAGAAATGGTTGTGTATGTATGTATGTATGTACGCGCCGGCATGCATGCATACGTATGTATGTATGCATGTATTTCGAACTACCGCTAGTCGCTGCTAGAAGGAGCGGTAAAAGTATCACACCTTATCACACATACACAGAACAATCGAGTTCTCTCTCACTCCAGATGCAAATACATAAGAACACGCGCATACAAGTGTATGAATGTGTGTATGTATAACAGGCTGTACATATATGTATATGTATGTATGTATGCTTGTACATCATTTTGTTCTTATCGTTTCGCTTGCGCAAAACTGAAAGTAATATCGCTAGACTAGGTTTATTGTCGTATCTACATACACACATACATATGTATGTATATTCCATGGTATCTTCATAAATAGTACCTATGCACACACATACTATTATGTTTGTATGGTTATTTTATTAGAAATTGTTAAGTATTGGCCCTAATTAAAAGTTATGGCCGCTATTTTTACCGCGATTACGCTTCATGTACATAAACATATGAACATTGCGATATCGAGACATTCTAATTATTAAGAACTTTATTTAACGGAACACACACAACATAATTCAAATTTTTTACATCTATCATAATGTATACATAATGTCTTATCGTGGATTTTTGTCCACTTTTTAGTCTTACTGTTGCAAAGTGCATTTATTGCAACTTTAAATAAACCCGTTAGATTTTGAGTTAAGGAAAGTGACAAATGCATTCAACAATGTTTTGTGATTTGTGCAAACAGTCTGGCAACACTGGCAGGCATGAGAAAGCGGTTAAGCTACCAACACGAACCGAACGCAATGCAGTGGAAACGTGACAAATGGAACCAGTTCACAAAACTATCGCCCGCTAGCGTTGAAGCCCTTGGAACGAGTGGTTCGCAATGAACCATTTCGTCGCATCGGAATAGTGAACATTAAGATGAAACTTACCTTGCAAAAGCTGAGCTGAGCCGAGAAGAGACCTACTTAGTTGGAGAGCTGCTGCAAGCAGGTGCAACTACTGAAGTACGTGGCCCAGTTAACTGTTTTGCAAACGTGTAGCTAAACGGCCGGCAAATAATAAGAAGAGTCAGCATCATGGACTATCAGTACTACGACGAGCCAGACTATGCAGACGAGGAGGATGAGGGCAGCGGTGGCGTTGGCGGCGGCAGCGACATTGTCTACGTTGACCAAGACTCCACGAAGAGTCAGTCCAACAGTGATTACGATGACGACGATTTCGAGAATGTGGCGAATCGTTTGTGGGAAAGCTACGAGCACTGCATACTGCCCTCGCTGAGCCAGGTGACAAGCTACATCGTGCCCCTGCTGCTGGGCTGTTTGCTGTGCCGGCTGCTTAGCACGCTCTATGCACGCCGCGCACGACTCGTGACCAGCGTGACCAACGTCGCCGCCAGCTGCAGCTGCAGCTGGCAAGAGGCGAACAGTCTGAAGCTGGCGCCGCTGCATCTCATCAATGCGCTGTGCGGCGCAGGAGTGCTATACGCAACACTGGGCCAGAAGATGCTGATCCTGCTGTTGCTCAGCGGCATTAGCTTTGTGCTGCTGCAGCTGGTGCGCCTGGGCAAAGGGCAGCGCGCCGCCGTGGCCATTGCTGCGCTCAGCATTGGCAGTCAATTCCTCTACGAGCTGGCCATTTGGCAGAAGCGCGACGACTGGCCGCAGCTGCGCGGTCTGCAGATGGTTACCAACATGAAGGTCATATCGCTGGCCTTCGACTTGACGGCGAGTGGCGCGCCAGGACTGCGCATGCCGAGCATTCACGCCTACCTGGGCTACATTTATAATCCGGCCAGCTGCGCGTTGGGGCCCTGGCTAAGCTACGCTCGCTACTTGGACTCGCTGCACAAAAAGCCGCCGTTGCGGCGCAATCTGTTCCATATGTTGGTCAACGTGCTGCTCAGCCTGGTGGCGCTGGTCATCTCCAATTGCATTGCGCCCGCCCTGGGCGAGTTGCATGTGCCGGAGGTGGAATACACGACGCGCCACAGCGATCTCGCACACTGGCTGCTCATGTACACGGGCGCGATGAGCGTGCGGACCAGCCACTATTTTGTGAGCTTTCTCAGCCAAGCGCAGCTGGCGGCTGCCGGTCAGCAGTTGGACACAACAACGACGCCGCACAGCAGCTCCGAGGAGCTGCTCGGTGAGCTGGTCGTGCGTCCCTGGCACATTGAATGGCCGCGCTCCTTGAGTGCCCTAGTGCGCTGCTGGAATGTGCCCATGCACGAATGGCTCAAGCGCTATGTCTACTCAACATCCAAGCTGGAGCCGCGCTCCCGCCCAAACACCATAGTGGCCGTCTTCTGCACATATGTGGTGTCGTCTCTGCTGCACGGCATGGACTTCCGCATCTATCTGGTGCTACTCTCGCTGGCCACCTTTGCCGAGGGCGAGACAATGCTGCGTCGTCATCTGGCCCGGCTTTTCAATGCCTGCGTCGCCGCCAATCCCTGTCCCGGCGCTGAACGCTGTCGCTATGCCTATTGCCCGCAGCAACGTGGCTGGCTCTGTGCGAGCTCCTGGCTGGTTGGGCTTATCAATTTGGCCTTCACACTGCTCGCAATATTCCATCTGGCCTATCTGGGCGTCGTGTTGCTGAACGAGACTCTCGTCATGGAATCGGATAACGAGCTGCCCTTCCTCTACCACTGGGCATCGGCTGGCTATCTCAGCCACTACGTGGGCATCGGCATGTTTGTGCTGTATCTGTTCATATCGTAAACTGGACCCAGTCCATTTAAAGACTGCCTGCGAGAGACTGCACCCCTATTTGCTGCTCGCTCCCGACGCTGACCACTGTCTGCACTGGCAGCCGCTCCATGTGATTACACTAATAACATATATGACATGATATACATATATGTATTTATATATAAATGCATCCGCTTCAGCCGCACACGTTTTCTGTGTGGCTTTTTGTGGAGTTGGCTATAGGAAAACGGAACTGATTTAACAACTGTGAATCTCTTTATAAACTGTATTTGTATTTTTACCACGTAGTTGTGACCAATTGGCTATTATTTATACACACATATATATATGTAACATTTGTATGTCTGGTCGGCTGTACTTAATAAATGTAAACTAAACGTTTTTATATATTAAGGCGACGAGATTTCATTTGGATTCAAGCATCTGTCCGACCTGCCTCGACTTACACCTCCGTAACCCTGTGGAAACTGGGTAAGGGAAACTTCAGCAGCCGCTCGAGTCTATATATCTATGAAATTTACATTTTTCGTCACGTAGTCTTTTGGAGGACTCTGGAGCGTACTTTAACCATTTTCTCTTGAGCCTCCCGACTAAATGACTACACACAAGGTCTCTGGCTGCCCGGATGGAATTTGTGTATTTATTTCAATTTATTTAACAAAGGAAAAGTTACTTATTTGTAAGAGAATGCTTTAAGAATTTCTGTATACATGTACACACACACACATTCATGCACGTCTGCATTCTAACAGCATGGTGATCACGATTGTTTTCCGTGCTGCTAGGTAAATTACTTTTTTTTTGGGCACTCTTCATCGTTTTCTAATGTGGTTTCCCCTCGTGACTCCCTCAAGATCAGCTTATTCTTGTTTGTTTGAACGAGTATATCGATGTGGCCATTACACCGGGCAAGGCCGGGTAATGTCAGCTAATTTTTCATTTCCTAAGCACAATTCACGAAGTTCAGTAATGTTAAGGGAATAAAAGTCGAAATAAAATTTTATTTTTTTTATTGGTTTTTTATGTCGATTTTTTTTTTGTTTGTTTTTTGTTGTTTTTTTTTTGTTTGTTTGTTTGTTGTTTTTCTCATTGAGACAAATATTTATAACAATATTGTAACTACTACTTTGTTGATTTTTGTTTTGTTTTGTTTTTTTTTTTTACTTATTTGCATTTGTTTTCGGTTGTCAGTTTTATTTGTTTTGTCGCTTATGTATTAAATATTAAAATTACTACCTTAAAAATTATGCAATGACAATAAAAATATTTGTTATGCAATTTTCGCCTGGTTGTAATTACAACACGTTCATGAACTGCTAAAAAGTTGCGCTGCTTTTTTTTTTGTTTTTTTTTTTCCCCATTTTATATTCAGAAAAGTTGTTGCACATTTGATTTGACATCAAAAATATATAGATATATACATATATATATCGACTCGTGTATATATTATATATATATATATGTTTGGTCAAGTAACAGCAGAGATAACACCGACGGCTGCGGACATCATCCAACAGCAGAAAATAACAATCATAATTACAGCCTAAGAGCAAATAGTTTTTTTTGCGCGCTCTTTGTAAGCTGCTGTCCACTCTCCTTCTGAATTGCTTTGCTTGCATTGCTGCCCTTCGCTCTAACCGGCGAGCGTCTTATTGGAGTTTCGTTTCGATTCG